CGGGGTTGTTTGCTATGTGTATAGCAGCTTGGTTATCGCACCACAACTGAGCAGGCATTGGTGTCTTCAATCTAATTTCATTCAATAAATGGTGTATCCATATTATCTCACATGCGGATTGTGCCATAGCTCGATATTCTGATTCAGCACTAGAACGAGAAACCACATTCTGTTTCTTACTCTTCCAGGATACAAGATTACCACCAACAAAGACACAATAGCCAGATGTAGATCTTCGATCATCTTTAGAACCGGCCCAATCAGCATCTGCAAAGCATTCTATTCTCATGTGATCATGGTTTTGATAAACAATACCTCGTCCTGGTGCTCCCTTTAAGTAACATAATATATGTTCTACAGCAGCCCAATGATCAATGGTCGGAGATGACATGTATTGACTCACTACACTCACAGAATAAGCAATATCTGGACGGGTGACTGCGAGATAATTAAGCTTTCCAACCAATCTTCTATATCTTTCTGGGTCTTCAAACGGTGTGCCTTCTTGAGTGAGTTGCACGTTGGGAACTATGGGTGTTGTACTTGGTTTTGCCCCTAATTTCCCTGTCTCAACTAGTAAGTCAAGTACATATTTACGTTGAGATAGAAATATGCCTTTCTTACCTCGTGTTACCTCAATTCCCAGAAAGTATTTCAAAGAGCCAAGATCTTTCGTCTAGAATTGACTATGCAGAAAATTCTCAAGGGCCAAAATACCTGCATTATCACTCCCTGTAATCACAATATCATCAACATATACCACAAGCAATGTGACACCTGATTCTGTTTGTTTGTAAAACACGGAGTGGTCTGATTTGCCTTTTATCATTCCAAATTGTTCAATTGATTGACTGAATTTCCCAAACCATGCACGAGGACTCTGTTTCAGACCATAAAGAGATTTGCGAAGTCGACAAACTTTACCATACTCCCCCTGAGCAACAAATCCCGGAGGTTGCTCAATATAGACTTCTTCCTTAAGGTCACCATGCAAAAATGCATTTTTAATGTCCAATTGATGTAAGTGCCAATCATGAATTGCAGCGAGTGAGATAAGTAACCTGACAGATGTTAATTTAGCAACAGGAGAAAAAGTGTCAGAATAATCAACACCATAGGTTTGAGCATAACCCTTCGCAACTAATCGGGCTTTCAACCGAGCAACGGATCCGTCTGGGTTAACCTTAACAGCAAAGACCCACTTACATCCAATAGATTACTTCCCTGTAGGTAAGTCAACCAAATCCCATGTACCATTAAGATCTAAAGCATTCATTTCCTCTACCATGACTTGACGCCATTCAGGATGAGACAGAGCTTCTTTGACAGATTTGGGAACAGAAATAGAATCAATGGAAGCAATAAAAGAACATGAAGTAGGAGATAACTGATTGTACGACACAAATGAAGAAATAGGATGAGTACAAGACCGTGTACCTTTACGTACTGCTATTGGGAGATCAAGATCTGATGTGGAAACAAGATCTGAAGATGCAGATACTGGTTCAGGACATGAGATCGGAGTCGAACTAGTATCAAGAAAAGTAATCACAGGTATCGACGGTGGAGGGTGATCAGGTGCTTTGTGTCGACGGGTGTATACCAAATGTACGGGAGGCCTAGGGTCATGAACAGTAACTTGTGGAATATTTGTCGAAAGTGTGGACTCGGGAATAGTCATCGTGTAAATGAGAATATCATCATTACTCTCACGAATATCTGCCTTAGATGATGAAAAAGGTGTATTTTCATGAAATGATGCATCAATAGAAACAAGATACCGACCAGTACTCGGACAAAAACATCTGTATCCCTTTTGGACTCGAGAATAACCCAAGAAAATACATTTTAATGATTTCGGATCTAACTTTGTTAGATGAGGATTAACATCTCTAACAAAACAAGTGCAACCAAATATTTTAGGTGGGATAGGAAAAAGCTCTCTGTTTGGAAATAGACAATGATAAGGAGCTTTACCATTCAAAACAGAAGATGGCATTCGATTTATCAAAAAACATGCAGTAGACACGGTATCTGCCCAAAACTGTTTAGGCACATTCATTTGGAATAGAAGAGCCCTTGCAGTTTCTAACAGATGACGGTTCTTTCGTTCCGCAACTCCATTTTGAGGAGGTGTATCAACGCATGAAGTTTGATGAATAATGCCATGTTGAAGCATAAATGACTTAAATGTAGCAGATAGATATTCTTGGGCATTGTCTCCTCTTAACACCCGAACAGGAACGTTAAACTGAGTTTTAATTTCAGCACAAAAGGAAGAAAAATGAGTGAACAACTCAGATCGACGTTTCATGAAATACAACCATGTCATACGAGAATAGTCGTCAACAAAGGTAACAAAATATTTAAAACCAGCTTTAGACACAACCGGGCAAGCACCCCAAACATCAGAGTGAACAAGGTCAAATGGAGCATTTGCTCGTTTATTAACTCGCGGGCCTAAGCTAGTACGATGGTGTTTCGCAAATTGACATGACTCACATTGTAAAGAGGTCATCTTATTAAATTGGGGATTTATTTGCTTCATTAATGGGAGAGATGGATGTCCTAATCGGTAATGAGCATCTAACAAAGTCCCAACCCCAAGACAAGAGATACCTTTGGTGATGGATGTATCCAAAATATATAGACCAGCTGACTCATGTCCTTTACCAATAATCTGCATTGTTAACAGATCCTGAAACACACAACATCCCGGAAAAATGTTACAGAACAGTTAAGAGTACGAGTGATTTTACTGATGGAAAGCAGATTAAATGCAAAATTAGGAAGACTCAAAACAGGCGATAATGGTAATGTAGAAGTTGGAACAACAGTACCAGATCCAAGAACGGGTGAGGTAGATCCATCAGCTAAAGTGACACTAGAAGTAGGTAAATATGAATGAAATGACGAGAATAGACTAGGATTACCGGTCATATGATCTGTGGCACCTGAGTCAATGACCCATTTCGAGGATGAGGAAACAAGACACGTGTTTGAAATACCTGAATTAGCGGTTACCGAGATAGGGACAGAGGAATGCTTTAGAGTTTCTTGGTAGCAAATAAATTTGGCATACTCGTCTGAAGAAATAGCAATTGATCCATCGGATGAACTGGTAGCGGAAGCAACATGAGCAAGCTGATTTCCTTGATTTTTGAACATCAATTTTCTACATTCTTTGATCAAGTGTCCGGGCTTCTTACAATAATGACATATTATTCTTCGGCCAGACTGATCAATGGAAGTCATTTCTTTTTTTTTCTCTTTTTTTTTGTTGTGTCTGTCGGCACTATACTCAAAGCAGTATATTCAAATATGGTGGATGGGGATATTAAAATAAACCCTGACACGAAACTTCCCTTCTGGAAATTTTCAGAAGCAAGGACAGACCTCTCTCTCCTCACCAGAAGAATAGATCGGTTACCACCAGTTTTGAAATCAACTCCAAATAAGGCAGATCACTATCCATGCCAATTCCCGATCTGAAGAATAGTTTGGTATACCTACTGTTCATTTCAACAATAGTAATCGATCCATTTCCTACTTGTGCTCTACTCCCTTAGAAACACATCAGATTAAAAAAAAAACCAGTGGGTTCCAGGTGATAGAAATAGAATTGAAATTCAAAAAACGAGTAAACCTGGAAATCAATAGCCCTAGAAGATAAAGGAAACTAAGACGAGCCACTGAAATTCTGAATCGTATCCGACGGAAATTCCAGCCAGCGACTAGGTCTCACGCGCCGGCGCGTGCGGTGGTCGGCGTGGACTTCAGGCGGCGCGTGTGGATCACGCGCGTCGATTTTCTGCTGCGGACTTCAGGGGCCTGGTCGCCGGTGGAATGTGTACCTTCTGGAATCTGAGGTGAGATAAGGGTTACTGGATGCCTGGACCCCAAGGTTGCTGTGACGTGATGCTGGTGTTCAAAGGCCAAGGGGCTGGGAAACTAAAAAAGATAATATGCTTACTAAAAATTCTAAGCTGAATTTCTGAAATGATCGGATGTTCTGAAATGCTCTGATACCATATTGAAATAGAGCATATAAGAGTAAATGATATCGGAGATGAAAGGATTTTCTGTGTATTTTATTAGAGGGTTAAGGCCCTATATATATATATTACAAAGATGGAATATTCCTATATAAGATGCTATACAATAATAATGTCTAGAGTATATTCCTAAAGCATATTCTAGAGCATATTCCTAAAGCATATTCCTAGATACAATAATACTTTCACAGGACGAAACGCAAAGGATAGATGAGACAATCTTAGAGGGAGGGAGGGAGGGAGGGAGGGAGTAATATGTAATAGTTTCTAAATTTGAACACATAGAATATAGTTACTGTTGGTTATAAATAAGTTATATGAAGAGAATATGTGCTCGTATTTAAATGAAAAAACATGTGTATATATATGAAAAAATATTTATAAGTATACCGGTATATTTTAAACATTTACGCCTCAACCCTATGGTCTGTACTCTGTACCCTATATCTTTCTCGTGTTTCCTGAGTCTCTTTTCTCGTTTCCTGTTCCCGTTTCCGTGATACTTAACTTGTAAGAGTAGGGAGCAAGCCAAAACAAATGTATAATTTGTTTACAATATTGCATTCAAATTCTTTTTTCTTTATTTATTTTATTTTTATTACAGCTCTTATAATAGTACTATATAAGAGGCCTTTGTAATGATTAAAGAACAACTTCTTGGAAAAAATCATTCTTGTGTGTCTTTACAGGCCGGACACCATTAATTCCACATTAAGCATAGATCTGAAATATCCTCCTCAGTTCTTGGGCTATTGTTATTTCTTTACTTGCATAAATTCGCTGTGCTGGTGCAGCTCTTAAAATTTCCATTTTACCGTTAAAATCAATTCGATAATACATGCTTTACTTCATGCATATCTTTTATCATCGTGTACATCATAATTTTAGTTCATATGTTATCATTGTCACATGCCAATTACCAATAACAGATGTATAAAATTTCAGGAATTACTTATCAACTGTCTTAATTCAAGAAATTTTCCTTACTTGGGATCATGAAGACTTATCAATGCGTACCAAAGTGAGAGATCTACCACATATTGATCTTTGGATTGTCACTTTGTTCTCTGTTATAGCTAATTGTAAATCCTAACAGGCGACATTACTATCACTGGTTTGGACTTCTTAGATTGTGATGACAATGCTTTCACATTTTTCCCAGGCAGCTAGAATTTTAGTGGTTCTAATGTGCAAGCATGAATTTGATGTGCGCTACCAAAAGCCAGAAGATAAGCTATACATTGCCCAGCTATATTTTCCGTTAGTTGGCCAGGTGTCAACTTCTTATCTTTAGTAATTTTGCATTCTATGAATATTCCCCTGTTCCATATAAGCTTCTTAAATGTCTAACTTGAGTTTTATGGTCTATACTTTCTGTGTAACAAGATTCATGTATCCGATTTTTTTACTGGTTTCATTGTGGTCATGTAGGTTCTAGATGAAATGCCGGTATTCTACAGTCTTGGTCCAATTGAAAAGCGTGAATTCCTAGTTATTTTTCTTCAGATTGTACGCAATTTGGATGATGCCTCACTTGTTAAAGCCTGGCAGCATAGTATTGCTCGTACCAGATTGTTTCTCAAACTCTTGGAAGACTGTCTAATGCATTTTGAGGTTGATACTTACAATTTTACTAAAAAATCTGTGAAGCTCTGCACATGTATGTATATCTAGCAATTGTTACTGTTAGCTTTATCATGTATGCAAGTGGTTTTTCTTCCAGTATTCTGCAATCTTTACGTAAGTGAATTTAATTTTAGACTTCACTTATCATTAGGAATTTGTGACAACTGTTTTACCTCAAGGGTGTAGGTTTTGTTACTTTGTATAGAGGTTTGAATGCAATTCTAATTTGCAAAAAAAAATGTTTTAAAATACTATTAGGGTTCTAAGATTGAGAACGGGTCCAGGGACGACTTGGGGTAGCAGGGTACCCGGTTGAGGTCATAACCTGCCTGCTAGGGTTATTCCTCTTCTTGCCCGTGGCTGGAAGAGTGCAGGGGAGGGGGAAGTCTGTGACTTCTCTCTGGGAATAATTTTAATGATCAATGATGATTATTATTCCTCAAAAGAATTATAAATAGGCATTCTGCCTTTACATGATCAAGTCCTATTCTAACTAAAACTCTAAATAAAATATAAAGATAACTTCAAACTGGACTCCTCTTCTAATTAAGTAAAACCCTAGATTTACTATAAAGATAACATCAAACTGGACTCCTCTTCTAATTAAATAAAACCCTAAAAATGCATCTGTAGCATCACTCCCTCCCTCGGCACTGAGCTTGTCACCAAGCTCATATCCTGGCTAAGCAGCGACAAAAGTCTCAATGGCTCCCAAGTGGCCTTATCTGGTGTGGGGCCATTGAACTAATAGTTCCACTGATAGCATTAGCAGACAACTCCAAGTCTGGGAAGCCATCTTCTTTTTCATTCTCATCTTCTATCTCGATCAAGAAAATCTTCGGTAATTCATCGTCCACTGTTCATCACAATTATAACATAGCCCTTTTGCCCGTCTTTCTTCCATTTCATCCTTCGTGAGTCGCTTAACAATTTGATTTCCTACCCTTAATGTGATGAGCACTTGTCTAAGTTGTGGCGGGCTGCGCTGTTTCATATCTGTTGCAGTACCTGAGGCTTTGACAGGTGCAAGCGTTAGTGCTTGCCTTGCTTCCAATGTTCTTGCAAGGTTCATTGCAAAACTCAAGTTGCCTGGTTTTGCTATCTCCACATCAACCCATAGTGTGGATGGAGATCAGCGACAAACAAAGCAATCTGATAGGTGGACTGTATTTTTGAAGTTCTTGCTAAGGCATTCTGAAATTGCGCACAATACTCATCAACTGATCCGACCTGCACCAGAAGTTTCAGATCTCCAATCGGGTTAGAACTCAAAGGGGGCCCAAAGCACTCCAGACAGAGTTCTTTAAATTTCTCCCAGTTGACTTCTCCTTCTTCCTCTATCATCTGATCGAACCACAATTGTGCATCGTCTATCAAGTGGAATGAGACCATATTCATCTTTGCAACACTAGGAGTTTCTTGGTCCAAGAAGAATTTTTCGCACCTTCTCAACCAACTGGTAGGGTCGTAGGTGCCATCAAACACAGGAAATTCCATCTTCGCATATTGTGGCTTCTAGGGATTTGAGGTGTTGTGTGATATCAGGCTGTTATCGGGTTGCTCTTTATGTGTTTCTGTTGATATGGAATCCCGTTTGTGGACTGCCAGAGATAGAGCCGCAATCTGCCCTTCTATGGCGGTTACCCTAGCAGTCATAGCCTCCATAAACTCCTTCATCATGGTGGTTAAATCCTCATTCTGTGGCGCCATGGATCATGATGGCTCTGATACCAAATTGTTAGGGTTCTGACTTCTGAGATTGAGAACAGGTCCAGTGACGACTTGGGGTAGCAGGGTACTCGGTTGAGGTCGTAACCCGCCTACTAGGGTTTTCCTCTTCTTGCCCGTGGCTGGAAGAGTGCAGGGGAGGGGGGAGTCTGTGACTTGTCTCTGGGAATAATTTTAATGATCAATGATGATTATTATTCCTCAAAAGAATTATAAATAGGCATTCTGACTTTACATGATTAAGTCCTATTCTAACTAAAACTCTAAATAAAATATAAAGATAACATCAAACTGGACTCCTCTTCTGATTAACTAAAACCCTAAATTAAATATAAAGATAACATCAAACTGGACTCCTCTTCTAATTAACTAAAACCCTAAAAATGCATCTGTAACAAATACCCAATGTTTGATTATTAAAAAAAAACTGCTTTGAGTGAGTGTCATAGAACTATGTAGTTATTAGTTGGTTTGTTTTTCACATTACCATAAATATATGCTCTGCAATTTAATACTGAGTAATTGGCAACAGGAGAATGCGAGCTACTTTTACCAAAAGTTTGAAGCTACGGTGAAGATAGGGATAAGGAAATAAAATAAAAAGGTTGTTTGTGTTGTATTGTCAAATAGAATACATTCAAGAAGTTCATGATTATTCTTCGGGTGTGGTAATTAATTGGCAGCACCCTATTACTGATGCTAGCTTGAGGGCTTAATTACTACTCCCTCCGTCCCCTTATTAAATTCCTACTTTCCTTTTTGGGCCGTCCCAAAATTATCTTCTCATTTCCTTATTAGGAAAGAAATACTACTTGAAATACCATATTTGCCCTACCCATTTAATTAACCCTCAACCCTTATCTTTACTCCACCCACCCCTTTGATTCGCACTTTACCCACCTCCCACCTTATCCCCTTTCAAATCGGTGGCCTTCTCTCCTCAAATCGGTGGCCTTCTCTCCTCAAATCCTTTCGTCCTCCATATGGAAGAGGAATCAATCACTCCTTCGAACCATGGAACTCTCCTTTCCTCTGTGTCATCTTCTAATTCCAACATGGAACCCCATCCCTCTTCCGATGTACACCCACATCCGTCCAACCCTAGCCCGTCTGATTTCAACCAAGCCGTGGTCAAAGTTTCCGAACAATATCCTCTCCTAGCCACTGCCGGTGAAGATGAGTCTGAGGGTGCATGCGGGTGGAATGAATCGGAAACGGGTCTGGCTTGGAAGGGAAGACACATCTATGCCTCCCACTACGACGAATCTGCCTTGTACTGTAGAACCATCATTTGGAATGTACTTTTACCCCTTTTTTTACCCCATGAATTGATGTTTTATCTCAATAAAGTTTTCCTCGCTTTTCTTGTATTCGTTTTTTTTTGCAGCACGAGGGAGTGGGGGGTAGTTTAGGAAAGTCAACTACTTTATTAAATTTGCATAAAAATGTGTGAGGGTCAAAGTAAGAATTTAATAAGGGGACGGAGGGAGTATAAAGTTTGAACTTGATAGGTTAAGATATAGGAAGATAGTTGGTATCCTTGGCCGCAGCTGTATTTGAATATTCTAGTTGAGTGTTCCTATTATTATTGTTGTTATTGTCGTCATTTTTATCATCTTCACCGTGACGATACAACAACAACAACAACATCCAAGCCTTAGTCCCAAAAGATATTGAGGTCGGTTAACATGAATCGATACATGATATCATAACCAAAAGGAAAAGAAGGAATAAAGATAAAAAGATAAGCTATTATGAAAAGATAATATAAAAAAGATGAATATATATAGAAATGATAAAATAAAAAGGCTGCAAATAATGCATATATATATATAAGGATAAAAAAAACTAGGAAAAAAAGATGAGGGAAAAAGATTATCAAGATCACTCCTTCACGTGAATACTTGCCCTCCACTTAGTTCTCTCCAAAGTCATGCCCTCATCCAACCCCAGAAGAAGCATATCACTTCGAACTCCCCTAACCCACGTCTGTTTGGGTCTTCCTCTCCCTCTCTTCCCTGCCTCTTCTCCACACATCTCAACTCGCCTAACATGTGCATCACTCGGTCTTCTACGCACATCTTCACCGTGACGATGATGATAATTATTTATATTGCTATTTTGTTACATGTTGTGCAGCATAAGAAGCCCACTGATGTCATACTCGTGGGTAGTAGCTCTCGTAGTGTGGTTGGGGAAGGTCCTGCATCTCCAAAATATTCTGATAGACTTTCACCTGCAATTAACCAGTACCTCTCTGAGGCTGCACGTCAAGAAGTTAGAGTATGCTTCTTTGTTGTCGCAAATGCTCTAACTAATTTTTTTATTGTTTCTACGATCCTCCAAGCATCTAAAACTTCCTGATGCAGCAGCAGGGAACACCTGAGAATGGTTACTTGTGGCAAAGGGTTAATTCACAGCTAAGTTCGCCCAGTCAGCCATATTCTTTAAGAGAAGCCCTTGCTCAAGCCCAGTCTTCTAGAAGTGGAGCTTCAGCACAAGTATTAAGGGAATCTTTGCACCCAACGTTAAGGCAAAAACTGGCAAGTCTTGAATTCGATATTAGTACCGAATTGTGTTTACATGCCTATGGCTGTGCATCTTTTCACACACATCTCTGTCTAGGATGCACTACTTTCTTCCATGTGCTAATAACATCATTACTTCAGGAGCTTTGGGAGGAAAATTTAAGTGCAGCTATCAGCCTTGAAGTGTTGGAAGTCACTCATAAGTTTTCAAGGAGTGCTGCTTCCCATAGCATTGCAACTGATTATGGAAAACTCGAATGTATCACATCCGTATTTATGAGCATTTTCTCACGCAACCAACCACTCTCCTTCTGGAAAGCTCTCTTTCCAGTGTTCAACAGTGTTTTTGAGCTCCATGCAGCTACCCTCATGGCAAGGGAAAATGATCGATTCCTGAAGCAAATTGCTTTCCATCTTCTACGCCTTGCTGTTTTCCGAAACGAAAGCATCAGAAAAAGAGCTGTCATTGGGCTTCAGATACTCATCCGTGTCAGTATCATCGTTTTAATTTATATATTTTATTTTTATCATTTTCCTGCATTTTGAGAGTTCTTTCACCGATGCCTCAACAGATTTGCTATTTTTTCTTCAGAGTTCTTTCTCTTGCTTTACCCAAACAGCAAGATTGAGAGTTATGTTAACTATCACATTGTCAGAGTTGATGTCTGAAGTCCAAGTAACACAGATGAAGTCAGATGGGACACTTGAGCAGAGCGGAGAAGCTCGTCGGCTTCGGAAATCACTGGAGGAGATGGCAGATGAGCACAAGAGCCTTGGGTTATTAGTGGAGTGTGGGCTTTCAGGGAATGCACTCTTAGTCTTTCCCGAAGGATTGGGAGAAAACAGGTGGTCCTGGTCTGAAGTGAAAAAACTTTCTGACAGTCTTCTAATGGCCCTTGATGCAAGTTTGGAACATGCACTCATGGTATATCGTGAACTCAATCCATCTGAGTACACTAAACTAATGGTGTATCTGGTTCTTCACTGATTACATACATTCACTAACACTTTTTATGGGGGATGGGGGGATCCATAGGCATCTGTAACGAATGTGGACAGATATGCAGCTGCTGAGAGTTTTTACAAACTAGCAATGGCATTTGCGCCTGTTCCGGATCTTCACATAATGTGGTTACTGCATTTGTGTGATGCACATCAGGAGATGCAGTCTTGGGCTGAAGCTGCACAGTGTGCTGCCGCTGTTGCTGGTGTTGTCATGCAGGTAAACCTTTTTCTTTAAATTGTCATACCGACAGTAATTAGAATTTAAAGTTTGAATATATATATGTGTTTGTGTGTATGTATGTATGTATGTATGTATGCGTGTATTTATATATCCCACCCCCAGGCCATTGTTAGTAGGAATGATGGAGTGTGGAGCAAGGATCACGTGAGTGCCTTACGTAAAATATGCCCCATGGTCAGCGGTGACATCACCTCCGAGGCCTCTGTTGCTGAAGTGGAAGGATATGGTGCTTCAAAACTCACAGTGGACTCTGCTGTCAAATACTTGCAGCTTGCAAACAAGCTCTTCTCTCAAGCCGAGCTTTACCATTTCTGTGCCAGCATCCTAGAACTCGTGATCCCGGTTTACAAAAGCCGGAAGTCTTATGGTCAGTTGGCAAAATGCCACACAATGCTTACCAACATCTACGAGTCCATCCTTGACCAGGAATCCAGTCCTATACCCTTCACAGATGCCACATACTACAGGGTGGGGTTTTACGGTGATAAATTCGGTGGGAAGATGTTAGACAAGAAAGAATTTGTTTACAGAGAAGCACGAGACGTAAGATTGGGTGATGTAATGGATAAACTCAGCCATATATACGAGCCGAGGATGGGTGGGACCACTCTACATGTAATACCAGACTCAAGACAAGTTAAAGGCGAGGAGTTGCAGCCCGGGGTATGCTATCTACAGATAACTGCAGTTGATCCTGTCATGGAAGATGAGGATCTCGGGAGCAGAAGGGAAAGAATATTCTCCCTCTCAACGGGAAGTGTTAGGGCTCGAGTTTTCGACCGGTTTCTGTTTGACACTCCTTTCACTAAAAACGGGAAGACTCAGGGAGGATTGGAGGACCAGTGGAAGAGGCGAACGGTCCTGCAAACTGAGGGATCCTTTCCTGCCCTCGTGAACCGGCTTTTGGTTACCAAATCGGAATCTCTTGAGTTTTCCCCGGTGGAGAATGCAATCGGGATGATCGAAACACGAACGTCTGCGTTGCGGAGTGAACTTGAAGAGCCTCGGAGCTCGGAAGGCGACCAACTCCTTCCACGTCTTCAGAGCTTACAGAGGATACTCCAAGGCTCTGTTGCTGTCCAAGTGAGTTAATCTGTCGTTTACTTCAAGTCTCCAACATCTGCTGATTCTTACTACTTGTCATTTAATTTAACAAGCACTTAGATAGGTGTAGTTTTGGTAAGAACTAAGAAGACGTATTAATACCAAATACTCCCATTTTAAATATCTATTATTTTTAGTCCGTTCTGAAATAATGCCCAGTTTCCAATAACTTTTTACTTATTCCAATACACTCCGTGTCTTTGGGAAAAATTGACTTCCTACCTGTAGTACAACTGGATAATACACTACACTTTACTAGTTATTTGATTTTTCTAAAATAAAACGTGTTTTGGTAAAAATTCATTTCATCCAAATAAGCAAGTCAAATAGTACTTGTTTTGATTATTCTGCTAAAGTGCTAATAAGCAGAATAAAGGTATTTTGCTTACCGCAAGAGTAATGGCTATGTGATAATACAGGTGAACAGTGGGGTCCTAAGTGTGTGTACGGCTTTTCTTTCCGGGGAGCCGGCGACGAGACTGAGGTCACAGGAGCTGCAGCAACTGATCGCAGCACTTCTAGAATTCATGGCGGTATGCAAGCGTGCCATAAGAGTTCATTTCCGGTTGATTGGGGAAGAAGATCAAGACTTTCACTCCCAGCTTGTGAATGGTTTCCAGTCTCTCACTGCAGAGTTGTCTCACTATATCCCCGCTATACTCTCCGAACTTTAACCAATCAATCCTCCTGCTGCCAAATGTTTTATTTTACTTCTCTCCTTTCTTTTTTCCAAATCATGTGTTGTATGATTCCATCTTGCTTTCTTCCTAGGCTACATGTTCATAAATCAAAGTTAGTGGTTTTGTGTGCTTTTTTACCCCACAAGGAACTTTACTTAATACGTCCTCCGTTCTTTTTTAGTTGCAACATTCCATTTTTCACCCTTGCCAATGCACAACATTGATCGTCATTACTCATTATGTTTAATTCTCTATTAGTAAAAAAAAATAAAAATCAGACCATGAAACTTCGTAATGAGACAAATTCAACAGTGTTTTAAAAAAAAAATTCACATACATTAATAAATAAAATGTAGTCAAAGTAGAGTACATGAATAGTGTGTAAATTCCAATGTTGCAACTATTATGATACGGAAGATAGTATAAAGTTCAATATATGAAATCAGAGTTAAAAAGATAAGATAAGATAAGATAAAGATAAAACGACAAGATAAAGACAAAGATAAGAAAAAAAGATAACGAATTTAAGAAAGATAAGCAATATAAAGATAGAAAAGGTAAAATAGGCCTTCTATTTCTATCCCTATCAAGTTGGTACTTGGTAGGGTTGGACTCGGGCCGGGTGGCCCGACCCGGAACCGGCCCGGGACCGGTACTGTTCCGGCCCGGTCCGAACCGGTGGCCCGGTCAGTGACCGGTCCGGGTAGGCCCGACCCGGTGGGTTTCCGGTCCGGGCTCGGGTCACCCATAACAAGGCCCGGCCCGGTTCGGGCCAAATTTATTTATTTTTTTTGTTTTTTTCATTAGAAATTAGCTCAAATAGGACTAAAACTATGTCAAAAACCTAAAATAGAACTTGCTATGTTTTTATTCCAAAATAGGACCATATGAGTCCTATTGGAAACATACCTATTTTTGCATTCCATTCTTACCCTTCCATTAAATATGAATTAAAAATAGTCAAAAGCTATAATTAAATATTTAATTCATAATAAATTCGAAAAAAATTCAAAAATTCGTAGAAATATAATTAAAAAAATTATAAAATTTTTATAAAATAAAAAATTCAAAACTTTTTTTTTAAATATTTTTATTTTTAAAAAAAATAATAAAAAATAGTAAAACTCTGTAAAAAAAATATGAATGTCTTTCCCACCGCCTCTACTACCTCCCAGCACCACCACCTCCGGCCGATGAAAAAAATGCCATTTTCCCAGAAAAATGCCATTTTTTTCTGAAAATGCCAAAAAAGTGGCATATTTCTCTTTTCGAATGCCAACATTTTCATTTTTTTCTGCCATAAATATGGCATTCGTAATGAACTTGGAATTTTTTTCCCCTGGTGACTGGAGGTGGTGGTGCTGAGGCGGCAGAGGCGACGACAATTTTTTTTTTTTTTGAGTTTTTATTTTTTTTTTAATTTTTTTAATTTTTTTAAAAAAAATTAATTAAATTTTTAATATCGAAATGTTTTTCTTAATTTTTTAGTATTTTTTACGAATTTTTATTATATTTTATTATTTTATTAGGAATTAAAACATTTTAATAGCTATAAGGGTATAATTGTCCAAGGTACACATAATTAGTCCTATGCAAACATAGTTTATTTTTTGGTCTTATTTGTGAAAAGTGAATGACTTTTAGTTCTGTTTTGATAATTAACTCTTTTTTCATTTGTTTGGGCTCCACCGGGTTGGGCTTGGTGTTTAGGAGGGGTTTGGGGGTGGGGGTGAGGGGTGGGGTCAGGGATGGGTAGCTAAGCAAAAAAAAAAATAACCAAACCCGAGGCCCGGGCCGGTCCCGGGTCCAGCTATATAGAACCGCCGGCCCGGGCCCGACCCGGCCCGAGTCCAACCCTAGTACTTGGTAATCATGCAAATTATTACTCTCATGCTCAATGGGAATATTATGCAAATTTGTGTTATCATGAAAATTAGTTTGAAGAGGTACATCATACAAATTTGACTCAAATTATGCTCATTCAAGGACTCCCCCTCACTAAGAGTGGTGGGGTAGTCATGCTCAGCAAACACATTATCATGCGAATCAGAAATAGTGGGGTTTTCATCACTATCAGTCTCTATTGGAACAATAACAGGAAATAGGGGTTGAGACTTCACCTCAGAAGGAGTCTGGGTAGAACTGGACAACGGGAGAGTGTGTGAGATATGCCTAGGGGTGGACTCGGGCCGCTTGGCCAGGCCTGGAACTGGACCGGCCCACTACTGTGTGGGCCCGGACCGGCCCGGTAAACCGGTTGGTTGGCCGATTCGGGCCACCCGGCCTAGTGGGATGGTGGTTCGGGCTCGGGCCCTTCAAAAGGTGAACCAGCCCGGCCGGTTCGGGCCCGGGCCGGGTCATTTTTTTTTTTTTTGGATTTTTTTTAAGTCTTTGGGTTGGGCTGGGTATTTTAGGCCATTTGAGGTGGTTAGGGTTGGTTTGGGGCTGAGGGGGAGGGTTACGGGTTAACTAGGAAAAGTCAAAAAAAAATAGAATCGAGGCCCAGCCTGGACCCGGGGTTACCCGAGCCGGTTCCGGGCCTCCCCTTCATGAACCGAGGCCCGACCGGGCCCAAACTGGAACCGGTCCGTCCCTAGATATGTCCAGATTTCAACAGTCGAATATTCTAAATTTCTAATAATAATTAGAAGAATTTAAACAGTAAAAGAGAAATCTCACCAATAACGTATACCGTGTATATATAATGATGAATTCATGAAGAACAATTACATAGTACTCGAACGAATAAGCTTGAGAGAGAATTTCTATTCTACTGGCTCTACAGGGAATAATATGCGGAAACAGAATGTGTAGAGACTTAGCAGCTTTCGGCCATGTGAACCTATATTTATAGGAGACATATTCGAACTGCCTAGTACAATTAGGAATTCTGGTTATGAGGCGTGTGGGCTTAATTAGCGCTAGATTAAATGGGCTTAATTCTCTCTCAGCTAAACTAATTAAATACAAACATTAATTAATTAAATTACAATTAATTTGAACACAATAAAATAATATTCTAACATTCTCCCCCTTTGTGTTCAAATGTTGATGAAGCGCGGATTATCTCTGAGTCTTTGACAATGACTTTCGATAGCCTAGAATGACTTCATAATGTCTGAGAGTTCTTCTGAAATCAAGTCTGAGTCTTATGGCTTCGACAAAGTCTGTAATAAGAACAATCTGGATCGGGTCATCTGGATTCTTGGAATTAAGTAGCTCGATTGCAGCTTCTCCCAGATGGTCTTCAATGATTCTAAGTGTTCCATCAGAGTATTTATGAATTTCTTCCTTAAGTAGGATTCACTTGACGCCTTTGTAATCTCTGTAGATGAGTCATATCTCTGGTTCTGTTGCGATGGAGCCTTCTTCAAAATTTTCAATCCAGGGAGCTCTATTCCTCGGAGTAGGAGTGGACGCGGGTCGGGCCAACCGGCTCGGAACCGGACTGGCCCGCTACTGTGCGGGCCCGGACAGGCCCGGTGAACCGGATGGTTGCCCGATTTGGGCCACCCGGCCCGGTGGGATGGCGGTTTGGGATCGGGCCCTTCAAAAGGTGAACCGGCCCGGTCGGTTCGGGCCCGGGCCAGACCAATTTATTATTTATTTATTTTTGAATTTTTTTTAATTTTTTGGATTGGGCTGGGTATTTTGGGCCATTTGAGGTGGTTAGGATTGGTTTGGGGGTGAGGGGGGGTTGGGGGTTAACTAAGAAAAGCCAAAAAAAATTAGAACCGAGGCCCGGCCCCGGGGGTTACACGGGCCGGTTCCGGGCCTCCCCCTTCATGAACCGAGGCCCGGCCGGGCCCAGGCCTGAACCGGGCTTGAACCGGAACCGGAACCGGTCCACCCCTACCTTGGAGTAGTCATATTCACTTTTGAAAGATTGTTTTCAATGGTCATTTGCAGTCTGCAGATCAAAGAGTCAATAATATTTGACTTGTCTCATCATGAATCTCTTGATTGCATTTATGCCTAGTTCTCTGTCTTTCTGAGGAAAATCTCTCAGTCTCACGTTCCTGTATTGTAGTATAGCTGAATAAGATTTCTGGAACAACGTGATAGAGATCAGCTTCAGAGACTCTTTGTACTACTCCATTTTGACGTTCAAACTCGATCATAGGATATTTCACTAGTCCGCAGCTATGGACATCAATTGATTTGATCCCGATGATTAGAGAATCAGAATGTTTCTTTAGTCGCTCACCATGTCCATAAGGATCATTCTGATCTGCAGTCATATTTCTCAACATCCATATATAACCGGAAGCGTCGGTTCCTTTCAAATGTTCTAGTCCTCTCAGCTCAAGTTCGTCATTCTTCTTGATTCCTTTCTCACTTCTCCAAATTCTTTGTCTCGGATCTTCTTGATAGGCATAATAATCTTGACGTTCTCTCAGGGTGTCTCAAACTTTTATTCTATATTGGAATCACCTGGACGTCTTCTAATCCGATCTTTGACTATGTGAAAATTAGGAAGTGGATCATCATAAAATTCTCCTTGAGCAAATTCTTCAGGTTCCAATCCCATTAGCTTTTCAGCAGCTGTCTTCTTAATCTCTCGAATGTAGTTCAGCTTCTTGAGAGCTTCTTCGTTGTTCAGCTTTTGGAGTTCGTCCTTTTCATTGTCTTCTATCCATTCAAGCAATAACAGATCAGCAGCTTTCTCTTTGAGTTCTTTCTCTTTTCTCTTTGACTTCCTCAATGACTTCCAACCGTCATTGACGTATCTCTGATTGTTAAGACAGGGGGTAATGAGCATGTATCAGTGTGTGCAGAAGTAGAAGGTTGTGCCCTAGAAAATGATAAAAAATCTGGGATTGTGGACACAAGACCTAATGTGCATTGGCTTGCAATGTGGGGCGGTTCACTGATCGGTTCCCCTTGTTGGGTTGAAACAACCATCTATTTGGAGACGGTCGAGTAGTTTAGGCTTGGCTCATTGTGCGCTATTGAACTCAATGTAGCGTCTTCTACTCGGGAACTGACAACGTCAGAACCTGTACTTATGGGCTGAGTTTGGATTATTGTAGTGATTGGGGATGATGAAACAATTACAGCACTTGAGGAGGAGACATCAGCTCTCTTGGACTGAGTCTCACCTGCCCTTTTTCGGTTTAGTCACTCTTGGACCCTTACTTCCACTCGGTTTAGATTTCCCTTGGGTAGACACAGTGGGGTCTGACTGCATCGTAGGGATA